CAAACACAACTTCATCTCCCTCTATTTCCACCGGTACTTTGTACAGAGCACACTTTATGTAACTAATAAATAGCAAAGCACACCAGAGTAGCCGGTGCGATCATGCGTTTTGTGCATCCCGTCCAGCGGTCGTTTGCATACTAAAAATATAACTGTTTTACACTTTCATATGTGGAAAAATAGTAGATATGCTGTATGGCTCCTAAGCTGTGGAATTTCCCACTGAAAATTTCACGTGGCAGCACGTGAAAGCTGAATTTGAAAACATGGATGAGGAACATCACTCCAAATTTCAAAATTCTCGCATGGTCACACATAAGATCTCTGCATACTTGGAGACTAAAATTGAGCTAGTGAAGTACCTGCACAAGAGGAAACATCCTGTAATTTCAGCTTCCTAGCTTTCATGGTTCCCGAGATAACTTCTCGTCAAAGCTTTCACTGGGCCGTTGGTGATAACCCAAGCGCACGGGGTTACTGAATTTAAATTTTATGGGTAGCACGTAAGCGGAGGACATATTCACAAAATTTCAGTTCCCAAGTTCCCCTGGTTCTCAAAATAATGATTTACGGGATCGTGCGTCTTACCCGGGACCACAGGGAGGCTGAATTTAAGCCTGCGGGGTCACACGTTGGCGGGGAACACTCTACTAAAATTTCAGGCGCATAGTTTTTGTGGTTCCCGAGCTAAAAGTGCGGGGAAAAAAAGGCACTCGGACACACACAAATAAACCCGTGACAAAATGCGTTTTATACTGCTATTACACAGCACAAAATAACTGAAGATGCCCGCTACCTGCTACTGCATGTTATTAAAACAACCGCCTCTCAAACAGTAGATTTCACAACGCATATCCGCTACAATGTAAATAAAATTAATTGAGCAAGCAGAAAATTTAGCCTGAAAGTACGAAATTCTGTTTAAAAGCCGTACAAAATCAGCTGGAAGCACTAAATGGTATTAAAAAACCGAAAAACAGCCGTGTTTAAGCCAACATTTTACCATAACCTTTTCTTTTTTTGAAAATCATCGCACTGAAAGCGAAGGTGATGTAAAATCTTGACACGCCCGTGGCAAAACTACAGATAGACGGTGTGAACTTGAAAGAAGTTGACATCTACGTCAATCTTGGACGGAAATTAAATATGCGCTATAGAGCCGAATAATGCACAATGAAGGGCTGCCGGCTGGAGTAAATTCCACAGCATCGCCGATATCTTCGAAGTATCGAATCGGAAGGATCGTGCCCACCTCATCAATACTGTCGCATTGAAAGCAAAGACATACGGATGTGAAACGTGGTTAATCAAGAAAGCCGAGCAACCGGCGCTAGCAGTGTCAGAGGCAGCGATGGAGTGAAGGATATTTGGCGTATCTCTCCGCGACCATAAAAACAATCACACTCTCCGTCGGATTAGTGCTGTGTAGGATATCACTGCGACCACGCGACAAATGCGATGGGCGAAAAAGTACAATCCGATGTTATACTGGTGGACAATGCATATAAGTATTAGTGAATGGTCACCAGGGAAAAATCGAAGAAATAAACGACCACGCAGGCAATCTCGGATGACGTGGCACATATACATAGAACAGGCAGTTAGTACTAAATGGAGGAATGAAAAAGCCTAAGTTCGAAAGGTCTGGTAAAGCTGCGCTCGGCGTGTGGGAGCATCCTAGCATAACATCATTAACAAGGGATACCCCGATGAAGCCCGAGTGGTCTTGGAATTCTTGGTATTTAAAGAGATGAAGCATATTCTTTGTAAGACGGGTTTCAACTGTGAAGTGAGTCACGATATGTTAAAAGTTTATTACTCAGCTTCAAGAATGTGTACTGCATGTGAAATAATGCTTCCCCCTGAAATGCGCCGTAGAAGGCTTCCTATCCGGCAGAAGTGCTGCCAGCCGACGTGCACTGTTTTTGCAATGCAGAATTGAACGTCTTCAATTTATCAAACTAATCAGGCAACCTTTTCCGGTTCTGTTGGTGCCTCCTTTTCTTGTTCCTGCGCTTCGGGTTCTGATGGTTCGGGATCCGAGAATTCGTCTGCGCTTTCTGATCCGTAATATCCCGTATCCATGCCTCGCCAACCATAGAGTTGCTCGATGCAAAATAATTTCTAAAATGCGGCATTTTTGGCAGCGAACAGAAACAGCACACGCACCTAGCTCTATCGCATGTGCCTTAGTTATTAAATGTCGGGATGCGCAAGACATGGGCCAGCCGGTTTTCCAGCAGCACCCACAAAGAATTTAAAATCTGGACAGTCCTGCCCTAGTCCTAGAATTTCATCCCCATTACCAATATTATAATGACTGCGTGTATTGCGAACATACATTTCAAATTATCAGGCAAATAGAAAAAAAAAATTTGCTTGGATTTTTTAAAGAGTCACGAGATCCAGGCATAGTAGAACGATGGTTTTAGAGATGAAGCATGCATGACACACAACGTGGCAAAATGTACCAGAAATTTCAGCCTCCTAGCTTCACCGGTTGCCAAATTGAACGAATGCGTGAAAAAAGTGTGAACACACACACATACACACAGACAAACTCTCGTCAGGGCGTTTTTGCATTTGCATAAACGTGCAAAAACGCAAGAGGTACTCAAAGCAGCAATTTCAGTTCTTTCTTTAAATCCGATTCTCGTTGTCGGAACAGCAAGACCCAATATAGTTTTATTTTGGAAATCTGGGTAAAGGAGGCCCGCTCTCACCATCCCGCGACGAAATTTCTTCCAAAATGATTAGAAACAGACGGGCAACTTCAAAAAGACCGCACTAAAGGTCCCAGTTTCAGTCATCGCGCAAGCCTGCATCACATAAATGGTCACGTCAAAGCTCACAGTTGACAACTTCGAAAACTAGCCGGAAAACAATAGCCCAAAAGTACTCGGCCGGAATTCTGTATTGCATAACTAGACGATTACAAAGTTTCACTCTTCTGATTTATAACCGCTACATAGAGTGAGGCCGCTTGACAGCCCAGAGTGGCCCTACAAGAAAAAGATCATGCGTTACAAGCGGAAAGTTCAGAAACGCACCCTGCGGTATTGTATTCCGCGAACTCTTCTCAGTCGCGAGGTGTTATCCGGCCGTTTCGTATCCACCTGACCCTTCCCATCTTGCGCTGCCATTTCTTCCTAAAACATACAAATCTAGCGAAATAATCGTCATCTGCTGCTCGCACTGCTTTCTGTCATTACACGTTAACGAGACACGCAATGAAGAATTTGAAAAAACAATAGATATGTCTGTAGGAGTGTGTGTGTGTGTCCGTCCCTGTGTGTGTGTTTATGGGATATCAAGTGGAC